AAAATAATGAACTAACATGCTCCTCATCCTCGACTCCTCAACTGACGTCCCATCACGTGAATTATCATAAGAGCAGAGACCTCATTTCCACACTCGATACCCATCATAGACAATAAGAGCCACCGCTCCAATATACTCCTCTTGACCGTCCGTTGCTGCAGCTAACACATGCCCTACTATGCTCAAATAGGGTGTATCCTGGTCCTTGACCATCTCAGTCCCCACTGACAACCTACTCATGCTATATCCTTACCTCGCGGCAGACATACTGCCCAGATACTCTGATGAAAGATCGTAACCAAAACTATCCCACAGGGCTCACCCCCAACCTCGGAAACCGAAAATCTCAATATCTCTCCTGTTTCCCACTGGAACAGAAATAGCAGCGCTCAGGTCACAGAAAATGACATCTCCACTATCGTTCGGTCGCTCAGCCCAGACCGTATTCTCCAATAACGCACCATCCCTACTCATCCCTGAGTCTTGCGACTCCAACTGGCATCTCACCAAAAATCCCTCGGAGCTAACTCGATTCCCCTTTCAAGGGATGCTCTACTAAAACTCGTTCATCATGGCCCTCTGGCCCCATACTCTTTCACATCTGATCTCAGTCTAGACAATCACCACAGAATAACCGGTAAACCAGAAGCACTAACCGCCACGAGTCAGGGTACTCGAACCATGTGGCCACCTCTTGATCTGCTATGAATCATGGTACCCGAACCACGTTGTCTCTTCTCAATCCGTTACGAATCATGGTACTCGAACCATGTTCTCCCTTCTCAATCCGCTACGAATCATGATACTCGAACCATGAAATCACCTCTCGTTCTGCTACAAATCATGGTACTCGAACCATGAAATCACCTCTCGTTTTGCTACAAATCATGGTACTCGAACCATGAATTCACCTCTCGATCTGCTACTTAGATCCTCCGGAGAGTTCTCTGCATCGAGTATGGGTCCTCTGCTTTCAGTAGTACGGGCCCATACTACCTGCCACATCTACCCATACTTTCTGCACGGACCATCCCCGAGTTCCTAGGTAGCTGCTCAACCTTCTCGATCACCAATCCTGTCACGTGTGTTCGCTCCTCTGCGAAATGCTCTACTCTTGTCAGCGTACTCATCTGACTAGGGTCACCCTTTCCTAGGCTCTTCCTAGGTTCTCACACTTCTCCGCCATCAGCTGCTGAAGAACTCCTTATGATGCCAGCCATCTACCTCCTGAATATCGTCATATTCACTTAGTAGGTGACTCCCATCATCAAGAGTTCCACAAAGCACGAAGCAAGCAACATTCAGGCATCGAATAATTTCTACCAACATGTAAAACCACTCTAGGTTATTACCCACTTACTCTCCTCATACTTAAAGGATATCACCGAACTCAAGCAACTTTACCCCACGCGGGCATCTGACTACTCTCTCAGTAGACTCCTCAAATGCTCATCTAGGTATCTCTCCTAGATTACTCCTCTACTCAGATCCCTCTCTAAAAGGATTCCTGCTGGATACTCATACTCAACACATACTCGAAGGCACATCACATATAACAGCAACTCCTAGGCTAAGGCATCACAAATCAGGCCACTCTAGTCCTAAAATATGAATACCTAGCCTATCTCTAGCATGCATAGCATATCACATAATATCTCATAACACATAATGTAAGGGTATTTTGGGAAATCACCGTTCGGGCGCTGGCTGATCGTACACACTGCTCCGTTTTGATTTTCTCAAAAATCTTTTACTCTTTTTAGAAAAATTGTTTCTTTTATGAAAATTCCCTCAAATCCTCAGTTTGAGTTCAGATACGCCCGAAGGTGCATCCGAATCCCTTAAACCAAGGCTCTGATACCAACTTGTAACGACGTAAATTTTCAAAACAATTTTTCATTTTAAAAACATACTCTCATTCATAAAATATCATAGTAATCCAATGTAACACATGTTATCTCAATAAACAAATCCCAAGATCCTCAAATACATGAATCCTCTCAGTGTGTACGGATCATGCCGGCGCCTTCCCGCGATCCTCGCTAGTACCTGAAACACATAACACAACAACTGTAAGCATAAATGCTTAGTGAGTTCCCCAAAATACCACATGCAACACATACGCCACTCGAGGCTACAATACGAACCTCCGGTCGATGTGTCTCAGCGGGACCCTCCAGTCTCGTAGCTCGTTGGACCCTCTGGTCCGGTCATAGCTCGTCGGACCCTTCGGTCCAGTCTGTGTCGTTGGACCCTTCGGTCTGGTCTATATCGTTGGGCCCTCCGGCCCGGTCTGTTCAACACATAGCATACATACAACACAATGGACATAACTCATATATATACACATAGCATACAAAACCCTCTGGTCTACCCATAAATACCACTCTAGGTAATATATAGTGAGAAGACTCACCTCGGCTAGCAGGTGAGCGAATAACGTCGCGCTCGGATCTCGAACTAGTCTCCTCCTAACACAAAGGATGAATATCTCTTATTATTACTCTTCTCACAACTCAGATAATCGAAGGCGGGTCTTTCTCTTTCTAACTCATTAAAGTGGGTAAAAGACCATTTTACCCCCTCCAAGGTCTCCATCACATATGTTGACCAAAACCCCATGGTCAACAGAAGACAAACTCGAGTCAACAGTCCAAGTTTGACCCGACTCGTCGAGTGCACTCCTGCGACTCGTCGAGTCCCCTCGTATCCTAAGAAGTCTCAAAAGTCCAGCTCAACTCGTCGAGTTGACCCCCAACTCGCCGAGTTATCGCACAATCAATCCATCGGGACAAACCCTGCCGACTCGTCGAGTCAGGTCATGGACTCGGCGAGTCCCTTTGATCTGATTTCTCATTCAGACGATTTCAACCAGATCTATCACTCTAAACTATAGATCTATCATCCCAAGGCTCAATAATTACGTAAAGCTTCGATCTTTACGTTCATACATGATACTATTGCTTCAAAACGCCAATACATGCACTTCATGAAGGTTTTTGCTCATCAACCCTCATTTGGACCAAGTAAGGGCAAAATAGTCTTTTTATGATAGACAGGGACCAAGCGTGAAACAAATTACCCCAAACCATAGGGACCATTCGTGTAATTTACTCAAAAAATTATATTTTGAAATCTAATATTTTAATTGATTCATTAGAAATTATAATCTTTTCTAAATTAAATTAAATTATACTTACTTAATAGTATAACCAAAAATAATATCATCTATATAAATTTGTACGATATCAATACTTTTGAAGTTTGTTTATAAACACTGTGAAGGATGTTCAAATTTTTCAAAACCCATAGGTTGTGATAAATAGAGTAATAGACTTCACCATTCACAAAATAGAGTAATAGACTTCACCATTCACAAACTCATATAAAAATACAAATTTGACCTCCATTTAGAAAAGCTTTTACCATTGACAATGAGTCAATGACTAGAATGATTCTTTTATATATATATATATACTAGGAACCTGATGAGGGCCGTGATAATCACGGCCCTATAGAGTCGATTCCGGAGCAAAGTTTTATCACAGTTAAGCGAAATGGTAAACCAAAATAGTACAATGTAAAAAGATAATGTCTATATAAGTGTGTAGTTATTATAAGAAGTTTAAGTTGAATGTTTATTCTTTTAGAAATGGTAAAAGTGTAAAAATATAGTGTGTTTACTGAAACTTGTGCATTTCATTCCATGGTGTTAAGAGAATGTGCAACACTTATACTCTTGATGAAAATATAGGGAATATAGCATTGTACTTTAAAAGTACGATGTTGTAAGGAAAGAAAAGATATAATTTAAGTACACTGCCATTTGTCCCATATAGAAATACAAAATCACAAAGCATACCCTTGCTAGAAATATTGGCAATATAGCATTGTACTTTAAAAGTATAGTCTTTTAAAGAGAAAAAAGATATAATTGAAGTACATTGGAAATACAAAATCACGAAGCATGTTGTGGTACGCACCTGCAATTGGAGTTACACGACTTTGTGTGGTGTTGGTAATGACAATGGAATTGGCATTGACATGAACTCTGATTTGAACAATTTTTGGCCTGTAGCCACTCCAATACTTTTTAGCATGCTCATAAGGGATATGGATATGAATCATATTAACAATTTTAATAATATAATAATCCTACTGTATCTTTTTCAAATGGGCTACCAAAATGATATCTTTGTCAAATGGACAACCGAAGTGAGTTTTATCCATAAATTTGTTAAATGGGTATTTGATTTTATTCTTTATTTATTAAATTTATTTTCATTCATATAGGTTATTGCTTTTAAGAAGAAGTGAAATGAGAACTTAAAGCACCTGACAGATATGGTGGAAAGTTGTAGTCTAAGAGTTTTTGAAATTTGACCGATCAGGTTTGCAATCTCTTATTTGTTTCATTCGACAATGTTGTGGTATATTATCTTTGTGAATTTTTTAATCATAATATAATAATTCAAATGAAATTATAGATAATGGAACGAAGGTTACATCAGAGTTATTTTTGTAAAGATTGTGTTGCAAAGAAAGATGGTTATAAAGTAGTGAGTTAAGTAAGCAAACTTGATAATAAAAGTAGACTAATTATAAAGTACTAATTTAAGTATTCACATTTCATAATAAAAGTAGACTGTACTATAAGAAAACTTCATAATAAAAGTAAAGTAACTATAAAGTAGTAATTCAAGTATGCAAATTTCATAATAAAAAGTAGACTGTAGTTCCATTTTTCATATAAAAACTTGAAAGTATATGTACAGTAGATACTATATGGAAAACTTGAAAGTGTATATACAGTAGATTTTAATGATCTATACGCCAAAAGAAACCATACAAAGATGGTTGTCAACTGCAGTTACATAGTATTTACATACCGAATAACCGAATCTATTCGCAAAAGATACTATTTACATACCGAATAGACCTCTATATTCTATTCGCAAAAGATATGTAGAGGATAGTTACCATCTTTTAACAAACCACAGTTACTTTGTTTTTTTAGAGGGCCTTGGATTGCTTGCCTGAGGAACATCTTCTTTCACAGGAAGTGCTAAAGGTGGGACTGATTCAGAAACTTTTTGTTCAAATGGAGAGGAGCTAGAACTTGGAATTTCTGGAAGAAGATGTTTTGTCATTAGAATTGGTTCTGGCTTATTGTTTGGAAGCAAGCATGTGACAGGAACTTGCTTTGAATTCTTAACTTCAACAGGTTTTTCAATTTCAGCAGCCGATGGCAAAGGAACTGTGGCTGCAACAGAAGACACATTTTTGGTTGTTGATGTGCCTTCACCGATGTTTGATCTATGGACCATGTTATCAGACTCATTTGACACAGCAGCAGGATCATTTACTTTGTAAGCTTTAACAATATTCACTTTGATGTATGTTGTTCCTTGAAAATGCACTTCGTATGCACGAACGAAAGCAACAATATAAACAGAGTTGATTGCAATGGCAATGGAATTGCATAGAGTCTCACCCTATTACACATTAACAAATGTTAAAAAGAATTTATATAATTATAACCTGACATGTTTTACAAGGTTAGATAAAATGTGTATTTACAGTTTCTTCACTGATTTGCACATCTTTTGGAGAGAAAGGTATAAACTTTTCAACTTCAGGTGTGTGTAAATTTGCTTTCATCACTCCACTTTCATCGGCAATCAAACAGTTAACCTTGACCTAAAGGAAATTTAATAGGTAAGAAAAAAATATTTTAAGAAGTGAGTAAAAGAACATTCATGCTTACATCTGTTGAATTTCTGATTCGATGTGACAAGAAGGACAGGTAACAATCCAAGTTGTGTCGGCTTCTATAGACTTGAAGCAATTGGAACAGGCAGTGTATGATAAGTTACGTTCTTGTTCAGGAAGACTCAGGGTGCCTTTCACCCAAGCAGTTTTCATCTATTTTATATGTAATGTAAGTGTAGCTGAAACAAATTACATATGAAACATAATTGTAAAAATGAATTTTTTAAAGTCGAAAAATAGCTTACAGTGTCGAAACGTGAAGTTGCAGAAAGAATAGAAGATATGTTTGTTTCAGCTGGATATGGTAGAAGGAAATAGTTTCTTCGGTAGTTTGTGACTGATAGCAAGTCATTTATTTCCTTGCGGTTGTTATTGTACCTAATTTTGTCAGATAGATGTAATAGTGTATAAAGGAAGATAAATAAAAATGGAAGTTATTTAATAATTTGAAGAAAAAAATATGGTATGAATAGCATAAGTAATACCAGGTGCGTAATTGCAAGTTGTCACTAACCGGTGGATTGATAAGCAAACCTGAATTTGGCTTCGTTGTTAAAGAGATGGCTGTTTCCATTTTTTTGTAATCAGTACAATAAATGAGGTTTTATTGTTATAATAAAAAAAATAATATTTAGTAAAAAGGTAAATAAATTACAGTTAAAAGTTGTGACTTTCAGCCTCAGTCCAAAGAACAAAGGGGGTGGGCCTTGCATTGACTGCAACATATTACCCTCATGTTCATCGAATTGGTTCCACAGAGTGATCACCAAAGGCAGTTTTCTATAAAAGAAAATTGTAATGTAATCAAAGTAATGTATATAAGTAATAGGTAATAGATTATTGTGTGATAAGAATTTTATACTCTTCGTTGATGATAATCACATCTCTCCGACTGACAAGGTCAGAACCTTCTTCATAACTGGGCAAACATCGCACAACGATGCCTCTGACATCTACATAATACAAATATATATATAGTTGATAATTAAAAAAATATATGTTAGGTAAGTAGAAAAGGTATTTTACTTTGAAGATGGTCTGATTCAGCATGTTCATGGAGCCTCGTAAATGGAGTGAATTCAAAAGTACAAGGTAAATTCACCGGATTGCGATCAGGATGTTCTTGTACAAGCGTTCGCTTATTGAGCACCCATGAAAATTCATATAAGCTAACTGCATATCTTGGATCACATGGGATGACAAACGCATTTGAGATGCGATACCTCCTGTATTGTGTGAATGTTCTTGCATAGTAATGTAAATTCTCACTGTAAATAATTGCTGTGAACTTTAAGCCTTCAGAATCTGTTAACATCAGTCGTTTGTAAGAAGACCCTTTTTTAGTTTGCAAAACGTGCTGACATTCTAAGATTTGTACAAGGGCTGTCCACCGGTTGTGAGTTGCCTGATTGATTTCCATAATCGGAGTAAGCTGTGTAGACATGTTTCTTTAACTGCAACATAAAAATTTGTAAAAATTGTCAAGAGGCATGTAGGTAAATTAATAAAATGAAAAAAATGGAGAACGACTCTTGATAACAATTAGGTAAACTTACCGGATCAAACATGTACATTTTCTTCTTAAGAAATTGATCAACAATAACAGTAAATATATAAGGTAAAAAATTATTACGTGTAAAATTTAGAAATTAAAAATCCACGTGTAAATATCTGAAGTAATAAAAAATAACAGATGTTGTTGGCTAACAGCACATCGAAAACAAAGGTATGACTGATAGATTGTTTATACTTATCTAAATAGATCATGTAATTGGAATTGTCTTTGACTGCGTGTCATCAGATTTGATAAACCAACACATAAGATACGTCATAAGGACAAAAACACTGAGAGAAAATAGATCAATTTTTGCATTTTCTGTCTATCTAAACAGACATCATGAACAATAATAGTGGCCACGTGCGACCTAGTAAATCAGAATTATGTGGAGATGGCAGGTGTGAACAATAATCTATTGAGATGAGAATACCTCTGTTTCCCCCATCGTTATACTTATGAGGTGGGATTTTAGAAACTCTAAGTTGGCTCCTAAATTGTGAATAAATAAGTGTAGAAAATTTACAGAAATCGTTTTACAATACCCATTAAAAAACATACAATTGGGCCCCTAAACTCTAAATGATGGTAAACGGATTATTATTACGATAAATGAAAAAATTCCTCTAAAATTGTAAATAGGAATATAGGAAAGAAAATCCGTTGTAAAGTAAAAGTTTAAACTTAATTTTAAATAAAGAAAAATTTTGTCATATGACTGCAAATATTAAAGTTACCAAATAAATATACACGGCCTATAGTTCAAATTCAAATGTGAGAGAAGTCTAATAAATTTTTGCCTGATAAAAAAAAATTTAATTTTCAGAACATACAACCCTATGCTAAGAGTAAGATATCCAATAATCTAAAATACACATAAACAAAACATTCTTTAAAAACAAAAAATTAATAGGCATCAATACATAACAAATATACCCCATTCTAATTTTAAAATGTTACATAACATTAGAAGATTTACATATTTAAATATATGATATAGTCTACCTAATCTCCTGATCTAATGTTTAGATTTCATCTTGTTGGTGAAGTTTTGTCACTTCCTGATTGAATACTGTTCCAGAGGGGTGTGGTTTCGATACTGTGTGAGTAGATTACAGCCTGTAAGAAAGTAAACACATATATATTCACATGCAAAGCAAGAAAGACTGTCATGTTCAAATTGATTTCAATGAGGTTAATTGTTTTTGTAAAACATGAAACCGAGGGAGATCCTAAAAGATACTATGTAAAGATGTTTAATAAAACTGAACTGAGAAATAGAGTAAAGATTAAGGATATCGTAAAATGTGAATACAAAGATGTTTACAAAAAATTATCTTATATTCAAATCGATTGATAAAAGGTAGCTGACCTTTTTCATTGAAAAGCAATGAAATACCATGCATCCTGTGTTTTAGTTGCAGAGATTAACAGCTACCTGTTGTAAAAAGAATATTAAATGGGTATATGAATAAAAGAAAAATAAGAGGAAGTTGTAGGAAAAGTACGTACGTTGACAGTTGATGAGCATGTTGTAAAATCTCTTTATAGACGATATTCTTAGTTGTTATATTATTTGAGCTACCATATGCAGATCCGGTTATAAAAACCTTAATACTGTTTAAACTTTTTGCTCTCGAAAGTGCTACATACAACTGACCGTGAGAGAAAACAGGTTCTTTCAAGTAAATGCCAACATAATCAAGTGTTTGACCTTGCGCTTTGTTAATGGTCATTGCAAAACACAATCTAATTGGGAACTGAAATCTTTTAAATGGAATTGTATATTGTTCTCCTGTTGGTGGCTGTAATGGAATTCTATGAAGCAAAACCTCTTTTCCAGCAAATTCTCTATAGCTTATCTCTGCACGTATAACATTCCTTTGAAAATCTTTACAGAAAAGTCTAGTACCATTACATAAACCTTCAAACGGGTTCATGTTCCTCAACAAAATAATTGGAGCATTATACTTAAGAACAAGTTTATGAGGTGGCATACCATTTGGTGTTAAGGAATGAAGTAAATCCTCATACTGGGCCTGATCATTTGGATCAATAGTCTCATCAAGACTAAAATATTCAATCTCTTCTCTAGGCAACTTGTATATCAAAGTATCATTAATCTCATCTACAAAAGTATTTTTAGTTGTTAGAACAGCACGATTACAAGTGGGAGAGAAAGTGGCAGGAGTAACAAAAATGTTAGGATAAACATATTTCATAAGAGCTTCCAAACCGTTAACATCATTACAACCCTGAATGAGCATTGATGATGGCAGAGAAACAACTGCATCGTCTGTAAGAGTTCCTACACCATTACCAAGTGCCAAAAGGAAACTTGAAAAAAAAAGGATCCAATAGAGCTCGCATGTTTTCTGTTAGCTGCAAATGGGTAAGAGATTGCCATAAATAAGAATTAGTTAAACAAGCAGAAATAGTTTGTGTTTTACTTCCTAGCCTAACAACAGGAAGAGTTTGTCTAAAATCACCACCAAGAACAACAACTTTACCACCAAAAGTAGCTGAACAGTCCATTATATCTCTAAGTAGACTATCGAAGGATTCAATTGCAGATTTCTTTGCTGTTGGAGCCTCATCCCATATAATCAACTTACAAATCCTAATCAACACTGCTAAAGAGCTTTGTTTACTAACATTACATACAAACCCTTCAGCCGCATCCAAAGGTATTTTAAAACGTGAATGGGCTGTTCTGCCACCGGGCAATAACGATGCTGCAATACCTGATGTAGCTGTAGCCAAAGCAACATGACCTTCAGATCTAATTTTAGCCAATAAAGCTCTGTATAAGAATGTTTTGCCAGTGCCACCTGGACCATCGATAAAGAAACAAGCAGGTTTATTACAGCTAACTGCATCCATTATCATTTCAAAAGCAACCTTCTGTTCTCTATTAAGAGTATATATTGCAGCCAAATCTTCAGCGGAAACAACAATACTTTTTTCTGTTTTAATCTCTCTAGTGTCGTCTTCCATTAAACGATCAAATGAATTTTGGGGTAGAACATCAAACTGGTGAAGACGTCTTCCCATTGACTGCAGAAAACAATCAATCTCTTTAAATGCACGGGCATTAGATTCTTTGCGTGTCTCTTTGTGGTGGCGTAAAATGTCTTCCATCATTGCATCTTCAAATAATAACCACAACTTGCGCGGACTATTTGGACAGGTAAAAACCAAAAGTGAAGCAAAAAGCCTTCTCAACTCATATGGCATATGAAAAGTAGAAGCTTCTTGCATACATACTTGTTGAGTAGCATCGTCAAGTAAATAACCACGTAACAAAGCAGATTCTCTAAAGGTAGCAACAGTTACCCCGTTAATCATTTTTAAATCAGCAAACGATTTTGGACAGCGAACTCTAGACAAAAGAATTCTAAGATAATACCTTTCGCCTTCGGTTGGATGGGCAATCACAATACGACCAATTGAGTCACCTATTTGCCGGGGTGACCACATATTTTTATCCCCCTTCCAAACAAAATGATCAGGAAACTGATTGTATGTGAGCTTAAGCTTTTTTGCTAAAATTTCTGTATCATTTTCAACAAAAAATTCAGTCAACATAGTTTTTCTTTTACCAGAGTTACTCAGAATATTAACCAAAGTTGATTTACGTTTGAATGTCAAAGGCTGATAGTTTTCTAAATGCAAGGGCAAATGAATAACAGCTGGTTTCATTTCACCCAAAGAAATTTAAAAATTCTCCATGCACCTTCAGGAGGAGAGACCCATCGACCTGATTGATACTCATTAATCTCATTTATAAGGACAGAGTTTGTAACTGGAGAAATATTAAAGCTTATCTTGTCAGAACCTTTACAAATATACTTATATATATACTTCACAGCCTTTATTGATGAACAAATTTCTATATTAATGTGACAGTTAAATTTACAAAGCAAATAGGCATTATACGGAACAACCCATTTATTATTAAGAATAGCACCTCTGACTTTCACTTCAGACCCATCGTTACGTCTACGATATATAGGATATGCATCGTCTGTCTGAATAGTGTGAGAAGAAAAGTCTTTTGGGTAAAGATTTTTACAAGAACCCTTCTTTTTCATACATACGTTAAAAGGATTTAAAGAGCCACATGGACCATGAATCATATGTTGAACAACCATCCTAAACAAATGAGGATTTGCACTTTGTGATGGTATTTCTGCAGAAACAATTTTGTCAAAGTCTTCAGGTGTATGCATTTTACAGTTACTTTCTAAGATAAGCAAAAAATGTGCATGTGGAAGTCCTCTTTTCTGGAATTCTATAACGTAAGTGTAAGCACAAATTTCGCCGAAAATGTTATTCTTGAAAAGTTCATGTTTAAGTTGTTCTACTTTAGCATGAAAAACTCTAACAATCAAATCAGCTCTATTTTGGCCTTCTTCATATGGTTTAAGATTTTCTTTTATTTCAGGCCAATTAGGATTGCATGTCATAGTTAAAAAAATATCAGGCTTACCGAACTTTTGTACCAAGGCCATTGCATCTACATATTTTTGTCTCATGTTTCTAGGGCCACCAATAAAATTAGAAGGTAATACTATTCTTCTACCAATAGCAGAACCATCTGTTTCCCCTTTTGCCATTGCATCCACAACTCCTTGCAAGAATTCTTGTCTTATTTCTTCCTGCTGTGTCCTAAAAAAATCTAGTCTTTGCGTTTCTAATTTAACGTAGCTGTCAACTATATATTGTTGTAGTAATCTACCAAAATAGAGTAAAAAAGTTGTGTCATTATGCCTTATCTGAAGCTTATAAGCATAATACTCTCTAACAGATACAACCCTGGGGTTATCTGCTTTTCTTCCAAGCACTGTATAAAAAGAGAAAAGAAGTAAAGCACAATAAAGTTAGCC